AATTGGAAGGAATTTACCAGCTCCAGACCAGCTCTTCAAGAAGTTCTGAAGGGAGTGCTATACCAGGAAAACTAAAATGTCAGACAGACAGTTATACAAGAACAAAAAGCAACCAAGAAAATTGCTCACTTAATGATAGGAACAGGTCTGGAAATATTGATAATTACATTGAATGTCAGTGGACTAAATTCTCCAATTAAGAGATACAGACTGGCTGAATGGATAAAAAACAAAACAAAACGAAACAAAACAAAAGAACCAGAAACCCTCTATCTGTTGACTACAAGAAACTCACCTTATGGATAAAGATATACATAGACTAAAAGTCAAGGGCTGGAAAAAGATATTCCATGCAAATGGAAATCAAAAAAAAGAGTAGCCATATTGATTTTGACAAAATAGACTTCAAGTGTATTACATTTATGGTTTTGTGTATTTTGAACCACCTTTGCATCCCTGGAAAAAAAAGCCTACCTGGTTGTGATGAATAATCTTTGTTACATGTTGTTGGATACAATTTGTGAGTATTTTGTTGAGAATTTTTGCATCTATATTCATCAATGATATTGGTCTGTAGTTTTCCTTTTTTGTCATATCCTTATCTGTTTTGAGGATGAGGATGATGGAGGCTTCATAAAATGAATTTGGAAAGTTTCCCTCCTTTTGAATCTTTAGAAATAAATTGAGTATGATAGGGATTAACTCTTCCTTAAAAGTTTTGTAGAATTCAGAAGTGAAGCCATCTGGACTTGGGCTTTTCTTTGTTGGGAGGTTATTTATTACTGATTCAATCTCCTGACTTTTTATGGGTCTCTTCAGGTTCTCTATGTCCTCCTGTTTCAATCTTGATAGATTATATGCATCCAGGAATTCGTCCATCTCCTCTGAGTTACCCTTGTTTGTTGGCATATAGTCGCTCATAGTATCCTGTAATGGTATTTTGTATTTCTACTATGTCTGTTGTAATATTGCCTGTTTCATCATGTATTTGATTTATCTAGTTTCTTTCTTTCTTCTTCTTGATCAGTCTAGCCAATGGTGTGTCGATGTTGTTAATCTTTTCAAAGCACCAGCTTTTGCTTTCGTTTATTTTCTGTATGGTTCGTTTATTTTCTATTTCATTTATTTCTGCTGGAACCTTTATTATGTCTTTTTGCCTTGCATTTTTGGGGTTTGTTTGTTGTTGTTTTTCCAATTCCCTGAGGACTGGTGTTAGGTTATCTATTTGCCATCTTTCCATCCTTTTCTTATGCACACTAACTGCTATGAATTTCCCTCTTATGACTGCTGAGTTTCCATAATCTATGTCCCATAGATTATGGAAACTCATGTACTCATTATCATTGGTTGCCATAAATTTTTTTTATTTCAGACTTAATTTCTTCAGTAGTGAAGAAGTCATTCAGAAGTAAGTTGTTCAGTTTCCACGTGTTTGTGTATCCACCATATTAACAGAAAGAAAGATAAAAACCATATGATCATTTCAATTGATGCAGAGACAGCATTTGATAAAATACAGCATCCTTTTATGATTAAGACCCTCAGTAAGATTGGTATAGAAGGGTCATTTCTCAAAACAATAAAAGCCATCTATGAAAAACCTACAGCTAACATTATATTTAATGGGGAAAAGCTAGAAACTTTTCCACTAAAAATGGGTACTAGGCAAAGCTGCCCACTTTCTCCACTGCTCTTTAATATAGTACTGGAAGTCTAGCTAATGCAATCAGAGAAGAGAACAATATAAACAGCATTGGAATAGGCAAAGAAGAGTTGAAAATATCTTTATTCGCAGATGACATGATGGTATACTTAGAAGACCCAACGGTCTCCATGAAAAACCTCCCTGAAGTAATAAGAGAATACAGTAAAGTGGCAGGATACAAAATCAATATTCATAAATCTATAGCATTTCTATATATAAACAACAAGTTGCACAAAATAGAGCTGAAGAAAGGAATCCCTTTCACTGTATCCATAAGATACCTAGGGATAAACCTAACTAAGGAGGTCAAAGACATTTATAAAGAAACTATGAAAATTTTAAAAAGTTATTGAAAGTGACATAAAAAAGTGGAAGGACAGCCCATGTTCCTGGATTGGAAGAATTAACATAATCAACATGGCAATTCTACCCAAATTAATCTACATGTTTAATGCAATTCCAATCAAAATACCAGAAATATTTTTCACAGATATAAAAAAGACAATCATAGAATTTGTCTGGAATCGTAAAAGACCTCGAATTGCAAAAGCAGTCCTGAACAAGAAGAATGGAGTGGGAGGCCTATCACTCCCTGATCCCAAGATATTCTATAAAGCTGTGATCATCAAAACAGCATGGTATTGGCATAAAAACAGACTTGTGGACCAATGGAATAGAATGGAGCCCCCAGAAATAACTCCCAAAGCTTACAGCCAACTGATTTTTGATAAAGGATATCAGTCAATCCATTGGGAAAAGGAAAACCTCGTTAGTAAATTGTGCTAAAAAAAACCTGGGTATCCACCTGCAGAAAGATGAAACTGAATCCCCATCTTTCACCATTAACAAAAATCATTTCAAAATGGATCAAAGAGCTGAACCTAGACCTCTAACAATAAAACTACTGGTGGGAAATGCTGGGGAAACTCTGGAAGACATTGGAGTAGGCAAAGACTTCTTAAATAAGACTTCCAAAGCACAGGCAATAATCCCTAAAATAGACAAGTGGGACTATATCAGACTAAGAAGTTTCTGCACAGCAAAGGACACAGTAACACGTGTGAATCAACAACCCTCAGAATGGGAGAATATTTTTGATAAATATGCCCCAGACAAGGAACTGATAATCAGAATACACAGGGAACTCAAGTGCCTTATGAGAAAATAATTGATTAACCCAATTAAAAGATGGGAAAATGAGCTGAACAAAAATATCTCTAAGAAAGACACACAAACAGCCAAAAAGCCTATGAGGAAATGCTTAACATCCCTCATCATAAGGGAGAGGCAGGTAAAAACCACAATGAGGTACCACGTAACCCCTGTCAGTATGACAAAGATTAAAAATATTAAAAGTGATAAGTGTTGGTTGGATGTGGTGAAAAGGAATTCTCTTATACTGTTGGTGGGAATGTAAACTGGTTCAGCCACAGTGGAGAACAATATGGAGGTTCCTCAAAGATCTACAAATAGAACTACCATTTTATCCAGCAATCCCACTTCTGGGTATCTACCCAAAGGACAGGAGAACACTGAGTCGAAAAAGTGTTTGCACATCAATGCTTATTGAAGCATTATTCACGATCACCAAGACATGGAACCAGCCTAAATGTCCACAGGCAGATGAATGGATTGAAAAAGTGTGGCATATATACTCTATGGAATACTACTCAATCATAAAAAAACAATAAGACCCTGGCATTTGAAAGAAGGTGGTCAGATATGGAGGATCTATTGCTGAGTGAAGTAAGCCAGGCTATGAAAGAAAGATATTGTATGTATCTACTTAAAAGATACCAACTATCCACATTCTATAGTAGAGATAGAAATATTGGAGGACATAAAAACAGTGAAAATAGTTAACGAGGATAAGACAGTGTTGAATCAGGGGTGGGGAGAAGAGAATAGTATAGAGAAAGATAGCAAGAGAACAAATAGAGAGGCATGACATTAGTAGGGCACAGATATGGTTTATTACTTGATGATGATGTGTATAGTAGTCTCAACTGGATTGGTCTGAGAAGTATTTCATGTTGGGTAAAGTCTTTCTACAAGCAAAATGAGAACTAGTTATGACTGTTTAAAAAATAAGTGGAATAATAATAATAATGATCAGGAAAAATCATGAAAAGCTATTGGATGATGAAGTGGGGATTTTAATGTCTCTGTATTGACTGATATGCATGGTATTCCTTCTGGAAAAAGAAATGTGATACACTGTAGAGTTATATGTGATTCAATGTAATATAAACAATATTATGATGATGATAAATAAAAAATAGAGAATATATGTGTGTATGTATGTAAAAAAAGAAATGGAAAATTATTTGTTGACAATGGCCTGTATGATTAAACCAGTATACAGTGTATTCTGAATGGAAAATTACATTTTGTATGCTGTGATGATGTTCAGTGAATAGATGTAAAATAAGTAAAATAAAATTTAAAAATAAAAAAGCACAGTGAATAAATGTAAATTTTAAAACTAATAAAAATTACAATAAAGTAACTAAAAAAATAAATATATTTGGTATGATTTCTGTTTCCTGTAATGAATCCTGATATACCAGCTTCGTGATGCAGGTAAATAATCCAACTCAATAAGACCAATCATTAATAGATTTCACTTCAGATATTAGTATTTTCATTAATTTATTCTTGCTCCACTAATAATTATTGGATGTACTTTATATGACTAAGATTATGGAAAGTAGAGTGGTATGTTAAAACGACTTTTGCCTTCATGATTTGTAGAAATTATTAAACATAATAGTCCAATAAAAATTGGCATATGGAGGCCAGTAGATGGGGTGATAGTTAAGGTGCTGAATTCCCATATGGCCAATGCATTTGGAGTCTGTGACCTGGGCGGCTTGAAAATGATACCAGGTGTGTGGCATGAATGCCTAAAATCCCAGCAGGAGAATGGAGGAGAAGGGATTGTAGCATAGCCATCCCCCAAGGGATGATTTCACATTTCCCTCTCTTTGTCTCTACTTGTCTCTGGTGAGCGCATGTGCTCTATGGCAAAAACAACAACATTTGTGTAGTGACTTACGACATGCAAGACATGAGCTATTGTGATCTTCAAAACCAGTAATATGGAGACAAGGATGATATTATTATACTAACATGTATATATAGTAGCCAAGCCTCAGACTTTCCCAGCTTTACTCTGCTAGTCAGTAGCATAGCTGGGATATGAACTTAATATTCTCATATTGCCACTCTGTCAAAAGGAGCAGAAGTGTGAACAAAATGATAATCTCAATAACATGTTTCATTACTCTGTTAGTGTAAAGCTTTCTGAGAAGAGGAATTTTCTGACTGAAGAGATCAGAAGAAGTTGCTTGAAGGAAATGCCATTAACAGTGATTTTTCAAGGACATTGTAAGTCTCCAATCTTTGACCTCATATTGGTTATTAGGAGATTTTCTTGCTGAACAGTTTCCACAGTGCAGCCTTCATGTCCCGGTTTCTCAGACCGTAGATGAAGGGATTTAACATTGGTGTCACTGCGATGTACATCACAGTTACCACTGCATCTTTCAGGCTGTAATTGGTCAGAGGGCGGCAATACATGCCCATGATTGTCCCATAATACAAAGAAACTACTGTGAGGTGGGATCCACAGGTGGAGAAGGCTTTGAGCACACCCTTGGTGGATGGAATTCGTAAGACTGTGGAAGAGACTCGCACATAGGAGATCACGATACATAGTAATGGCACAGAGAAATGGATACATACAATATCTTTCTTTCATATCTTGGCTTACTTCTCTCAGCAATAGAACAGGACAGTGTGAGCAAAGAGGCAATGTCACAGTAGAAGTTAGCAACTTCCTTGTTGCCACAAAAGGACAGACTAGCAGTGAGGAGAGTGTGGGGGAGGGAATTGGCATTTCCAACCACCCAAGACCCAGCAACTAGCAGGACACAAGATCGCAGACTCATAATCGTCATGTAATGAAGTGGGCGGCTGATGGCCACAGCCCGGTCATACGCCATCACAGCCAAAATATAGCTGTCTGTGTTACCCATGGCAAGCATGAAATACATCTGTGTCAGGCATCCTCCAAAGGAGATGACTTTGCTGCCCCAGAGGTGGCCGGTTAGCATCTTAGGGAGAGTTACAGATGAGAAGAAGATATCAACCAATGAGAGGTTGGCAAGGAAAAAGTACATGGGATTGTGAAGGCGACTGTCCGAGTAGATGGCCAAGATGATGAGCAGATTTCCAATCAGTGTGATGGGGTACATAAAAAGGAAGAGGATGAAGAAGTCTTCCTGTTCCTGTTGATTATTCACTCCCAAGAGGATGAATTCTGAGGTGTATGACTGATTTACTTCTCTCATGAATTCTTTAATAGAAAAGGGAGTGAAATCAAGGGTTATTAGTGAATTATGGTAGTTAATAATCTTCTTTATCCACCACTTTCTTCTCTAGTGATCAGATATATCTTTTCCTGAGTTTACTAATTCCACCAATAGACATTACATGGAAGAGTTCCTGTTGGTCAGTGAAACAAAATTGTTAGTTCTGAGCACTTGTGAAGGCCTTGAACAATCTGATTTAGAGGTGCCTAACCTCTTGAACTCCAGCACCTAATATATTAGATATAATCACGTAGCAACTAGTTAAAATTTCATAATCCATATGCTACACTATTTGTAGGCCTCATGGAAGGATAAGTATTTTACATTCCATTTATGTATTTATTCAATGAGAAGACATTGTATACTCTCAGGAAACCTACAAATCAGTTGAGATGCCAGAATCACATGCTAATTTTATTGCACATGATAAAGAAAGGATAATAGTTCCAAGTCTTTGAAAAAGACACTTCAGTAGAAAGAACGTATAGTATGGGAGCAGACAGGGAAATTAGAAATGCTCTATGACCAAATTCAGAGTGACTCAGAGGCCAGTAGATAGCACACATCTACACTGATATCCAATTATTATAAATCACAAAGATACTGGGATTAGATTCTAGCAAAATAAAGTCAGTGAATTTTCTTCTCAGTCTTCACATTGTCAAAGTAGATTTTCAACATCTCTTTTAATAGATTTTTCTTTTTTCAAAATTTTTTCCATAGCTCTTTTATTAAAGCAGAACAGTTTTATTGAAATACAATTCACATATCATACTTGTCACCCTTTTAAATAATAAAATACAGTTTTTTAAGCATGTTCACAGACTTGTGCAGCCATCACAGTCAATTTTACATTTTATCCCCTCAAAAATAAATCCACCACTATAAGTAGCTATTTTGTCTCTTTTTTAAATTCTTAAATATATGTAACTGAATGATTATCTCTTACATCTTCTCTTCCCTTTCTTCATTGTTTCTTTTAGTAATTCATCCAACTCTATAGTAGTATCAACTATGGCTTAATAGACTCTCAGGTCTAGCAGAAACCGGAATGCTTTATTTTTTTCTCCCAATGTTTCCAATATTCACTCAGCCTGCCAACATGTCCAATCATACTCCATTGTCTTTGTATACCAACCTCAGATTTAAAGCTTTGCTGATGAGGGAAGCCATTTCCTGCTTATTTTCTATTTTATGCAGAATGTAAATTGTTTTATGCACCTCAAAATTAGCACTCTAGAGTATTTAAATGGAATCTGGTTTTATTTCAGAATTCCACATGTGGGATGCCCACAGCATATTCATCCAGTTTATGTTTTATTCCTATAATTGATGTTGCTGATTCTTTATAAAAAAATAATTCAAGACCAGCAGTTGGCATGGTGGTTAAGGCACTAGAGCTCATATGGCTGAAAGCATGGTTTGAGTCCCAGACCTGGCAGCTTGAAAATCATGCGAGGTGATTGTGCATGAGAGAATGATAAAGGAGAGGGCATTATGGTGTGATCATCCACCCTGGGAATAATTTCTCTCTTTCCTTCCCTCTCTGGTAAGCGGAGATTTGTGCTCTGTGGCAAAAATCTAAAAATAGATTTCAGGGCACAGCTTCAAGTCTTAAGAGGCCTCAGTCAGTGCCTTTCTTCTTCCAGACCCAAAAAGCTAGAAATGACAGGAAAATTGCAGGCTTTTCCAGAAGACATCTATCTCCATTTGTGGCACGCCTTGCCCATTTCAGGACCCAACTTCAAATCTGAGAAGCCCCTCTAGCTGATGCTCTTCTCCTTCCAGACACAAAAAGAAAGAAAGCTTCCACCCACTCTCTTTGTGCATAGTAGCCAAATAGCTGAATACTGGGAGACTCTGAGAAATCTTCACCCGCTCACTGAACCTGCTGCAAAAAGGGAAAAACTCCTGTTCATAAATATGAATTCAGAACTCCTTCTATGAATACCATGTTGCAAAACACAGTAGAAGAGAGAAATTGGCACAGAAGTACTTCATAGTAAAGGTAAACACATGAGCTCATGGTTGCAGAAACCTTTTCCAACAGATTAGTCAAAAGTGAATAAGTTACCAAATGACTAAATATCAGAGAAGAGCCTCAAGGATGAGAGAACCAAGTAATAAATCTCCAACAGGGGAACATAGTGACATATCTGCATGTATGGAAAAATTAGAGGAAATTACCAAAATATCTGAAAAAGAATTCAGAAAATTTATGGAAACAAAATTTCATGAGAGGCAAGAGAAAAGAGACAATGAACTTCAGGTGATGCCTAAGTCCTTTTATGATTTGAAATAATTAGACACCATAAAAATAATCAAATGGAACTATTAGAGATGGAGACTGTAATACAGGAAATCAAAACCTTTCTACAAAGTAATAAAATCAGATTAGATCATGAAGATTAAATCTCTGATATAGAAGACAAAACCTCTGACCTAAAAAAGACTGAAAAAATAACCAAGGGGACCAGCAGTTAGTGTAATGGCTATGTCGCTGTACTCCCACGTAGTCGACCGCGGTTCAAGTCCCGGGCCCAGTGGCTTAAGCTCACGCCAGGCGTGCGTGTGTGTGCATGCCCAAGATCCCGAGAGGAGAATAGAGAAGGGATTGCAGCGTGGCCATTCCCCCGGGGCCATTCCCTCTCTGTCTCTCTCTGTCTGTCTGGCAAGCACACACGCCCTATAGCAAAAACAAAACAAAACAAAACAAAACTCTCCAAAAAAAGAAAAAAAAATTAGAATATACAAGAAATGCTAGATACTATGAAATGCCCAAATATCTGAATAATTGGTATTACAGAAGGTGAAGAAACTAATAAGGGCATTGATAATCTATTTGATGAAATCCTGGGAGAAAAATGTCCAAATCTAGAGAAACACTCAAACATCCAAACCCAAGAAATAAAAAGGACCCCAGATGGAATCAAGCCAAGAAGATCCTCTCCATGACACATCATAGTCAGACTGGCTAATACCACAGATAAAGACAAAATACTAAAATAAGCAAGAGAAAAAAGTCGAGTTACTTATAAAGGTTATCCCATCAAACTGACGTCGGACCTTTTAATAGAAACAATGTAAGCAAGGAAAGAATGGTCAGATATATTCAAAGGGTTAAGAGAGAAACAATTTCAATGAAGATTATTATACCTGGCAAGATTATACTTCAAATGGGAAGAAAAGATAAAAACATTCTCAGATAAACAAAACGTGAAGGAATTTACCAACACCATACCAGCTCTTCAAGAATTTTTGAAGGGAGTGCTGTACCAGGAAAACTAAAGAGATAGACAGAAATAAGAGAACAAAGAGCAACCAAAAAAATAGCCAACTTAATGGTAGGGAGAAGTCTGGAAATATTGATGGTAACGTTGAATGTTAATGAATTAAATTCCCTCCAAAAGTGACACAAATTGACTGAATGGATTAAAAAAAAACAGAAGCTCTATCTGTTGCCTACAAGAAATGCACCTCATGTGCATAGACTAAAAGTGTAGGGCTGGAAAAAAGTATTCCATACAAACAGAAACCAATAATGAACTGGAGTTATGATAGTGATTTCAAACAAAATAGACTTTAAGACAAAAACTGTAAGAAGAGACAAGAAAGAACATTATATAATAGTAAAAGGACTAATTCATCAACAAGATATAATGCTCATAAATATCTATACACCCAACTCAGGAGCACCCAAATATGTAAAGGAAAGACTGCTAGATCTATAAAGAACGATAGACTGGAACACACAGACTGAAACACACTAATTGTTCGGGATCTCAATATGTCACTATCTCCTTTGGACTAATCATCTATACAAAATATAAGCAAAGAGATACAGGATTAAAATGATACTATAAATCAAATGGATTTGACACACATTTATAGAGCCCTCCACCCAAAAACCACAAAATAAACATTTTTCTCACCCTCATGTGGAACTGTTTTGAAGATTGACCACGTGATAGGGCACAAAATAAACCTTTACAGATTCAAAGTTATGGAAACTTTATCCAGCATCTTCTCTATGATCGAATTAAACTTGATATTAATTTTTTAAAAACCTATGAAAATACACAATCATATGGAAACTAAATAACCCACTCCTGAATGACTTTACACCTACTGAAGAAATTAAGACTGAATCAAAAGATTCATAGAAACCAATGATAATGAGTACATGAGTTTCCATAATCTATGGGACACAGTGAAAGCAGTCATAAGAGGGAAATTCTTAGCAATTAATGTACATAAGAAAAGGATGGGAAGATGGCAAATAGACAGCCTAACATCATAGATTGGAAAAACAACAGCATAAAAATCCAAAATTTGCCAGGAGAAAATAAACAAGCAATGAGATTGAATCAGAAATAAATAACCTCCCAACACAGAAAAGTCCAGGTCCTGATGGATTCATTTCTGAATTCTATAAAACTTTTAAAGAAGAGTTAGCCCTCATTCTACTCAAGTGTTTTTTTTTTTTTTTCTGCTATAGGGCGCATGTGCTCACCAGAAAGACAGAGAGAGACAGAGAGACAGAAAGCAAGGAATCATCCCCCCAGGAGGATGACCATACCTCAATTCCTTCTCCTCCATCCTTCTCTCAGGACCTTGGGCATGCACACACACACACACACACCCAGCCTGAGTTTAAGCCACTGGGTCTGGGACGTGAACCGCAGTCAACTACATGGGAGTCCAGCAACGTAGTTATTTCACCATCTGCTGGTCCCATCTACTGAAGTTATTTTTAAAGATCCAAAAGGAAGGGACCCTCCCAAATTAGTTTTATGAAGCCTCCATCACTCTCATCCCCAACACAGACAGACATGGACATGGCAAGTAAGGAAAACTACCGACCAATATCTCTGATGAATATAGATGGAAAAATTTTCAACAAGTATTCACGATCACCTAAAAAAGATTATACATAACGACCAGGTAAACTTTATACCAGAAATGGGAGGGTGGTTCGACATATGCAAAACTATAAATATAATATACCATATCAACAGAAAGAAAGATAAAAAGATGAGAAAATGAGCTAAATAAACAACTCTCTTAGGAAGACATTTGAATAGCCAAAAAGCATATGAACAAATGCTCAACGTTCCTCATCATAAAGGAGATGCAGATCAAAACCACAATGAGATACCACCTAACCCTAGTCAGAATGGTGAAGATTAGAAAAACAAAACATGGTAAGTGCTGGCAGGAGTATGGTGAAAGAGAAACACTTCTTCACTGTGGGTGGGGATGTAAATTGGTCCAGTCACTGTGAAAAACAATGTGGAATTTCCTCTAAGATCTACAAATAGAACTACCATGTGATCCAGCAATTCCATTCCTGCGTATCTACCCAAAGATAGGAGAACGCTTAGATGAAAAAGTGCTTGCATATCTATGTTTACCGTGACATTATTCATAATTGCTAAGGCATGGATTTAAAAAGTGTGGTACATACACTATATGAAATGCTACTCAACTATAAAAACCAACAAAATCCTGACATTTGCTAGAAAGTGGATGAATATGGAATATTTACCGCTGAGTGGAGTAAGCCAGGTTATGAAAGAGCTATTGTATGTCTCCACTTAATATATACTGACTGTTCACACTCTCTGGTGGAAACAGATAGGTTAGAGGATATAGAAGCATGGAAAATAATTATATATACTGGAGACAGTGTGGAAAGAGAGTAGGAGAAGGAGAAGAGTGTGAGGAAAGAAATTAAGGTGAAAAATAGAGAAGAAAGACATTTATGGGACACAGAAATGTTTTGGTGTCTGTACATAATAATGTGTATAGTATCCTCAACTGGACTGGTGTGAGGTAAATTCACTTTACAAGCTAAGTGATGTATAGTGATTGAATGTATAAAATAAATGTAAAGACATTAATAAAAATAAGTACATTACAAAACTGAAAAACAAATCTAAAAAAAATACCCTCAAAATTTCTACTTGCTCTCTCACTGGTTTAGCTCAGGGCATCATCATTTCGGCATAAAATGGCCCTTAATAACTTTATTCCAAGTCTGGTCCTCTTTTATCCATCCCATATTCTTATTCTTTAATTTTTTTTAAGTTCACTCATTTATTTCTTCTGAGAGAAGGATAAGAAGAGGAAAAAAGAGAGGAAGAAGTGGGAAGGAGGGAGGGAGGGAAGGAGAGAGCAAGAGAGCTAGAGCGAAAGAGATTGAGAGAGAAAGACAGATACCTAAACAGGGTCTCCACACAGGAATCTACAAGTCTCTGGAGTCCTGGATTATAGGCACACTCATGTCTGGTAGGCTTTGGGAGGTCCGGGGATGGGAGCCCAGGACTTCTTGTAAGGTCTGGGGGAAGGGAAAAGAAACATGGCAGAAACATTTCCGCCAGCAGGAACTTTCCTGTTTTGGGCATCTGGCCCACCATCACCAATGGATTTTCCCACTCTTCAGCATTTGGCAGGCTGCGGAAGTTGAACAGAAACAGCAAACTTCATTGGCCAGACAAGGACCCATGGAGAGCACATATTGGACAATGGCCCTTTAAGAACGAGCAGCACCCACCCTGAACATGACTCCCTCAGCCTCTGATCAGGCCAAGGGACCTCTTCCAAGAGTACAGAATAAACTATGCTGGTTTTATTAAACCCCAAGGCCTAACTCTGGTATTTTCATCCTTGCTGCCTCTGACTTTGCCACTGCTCCCAAATCAAACTTAACATTTCTCATGTTGGTCCAGCTGTGCCACCACTGTGCCAGTGACTGGCCCTGATCCATCCTGTACTCTGAAATACAATAATTGTGGCAAAGACTACAGCTGTTCACTCAAATCCACATGGCTCTCTTTGTCCTGGCTATTACATTTCTCCTCCTGCCTTAGACTGATGTATATTCCTGTGGCGAGTTTTGGTCAATCCATTTATGTCTTCCAGTTATGGGCTTCCTCCACATTATCTTCCACCTGTTGCAAACTAAATGCAAATTGTCTTAAGAGTGAATGAAATAGTGAAGTCTCATGGTGGAATGGGCCCTAAATCTCCATATTCAGGAGAGCCATTAACCACCAAGAAGACATTGGGACTATTACATAGGAGAAAAATTAGCTTTCATTCTGTGGAATCAATTATGCATTTTGACCTATTTGTTAGTGTGTTACAGAATATCCTAATTAATTAATTAATTAATTTTAAAGAATTGTTTTTTAATTTAATTCCAGTGTTATTCTTATTTTTTTTAATTTGACCAGAGAGAGACAGTAAGAGAGAAAGAGAAATTGAGACAGAGAGAGAGAGAAAGCAAGCTGCCATGTCAAGGACTCAAACCACAGTGTGCCATGTGAGAGTTCAGTACCTTCAATACCATGCTACCTGCTGGCACCAGTAATTCATTAATTCTTAAAAGAAGTCTATAGTCAACAAATAATTAAATCTAAAATTAGTTCACTCACCAATTTCCAGTGTCTCCTATAGTAACATGGGGATTATATAATAGGAATGGTGGGTGTAGGAATGATTATCTTACTTTGAAATGTGATGTGCTTAAATTAAACTTCTGTAACTAATAGAATTTGGTTTACTTTCTTGAAATGCCTTTTACCATCTTTATACAGCATTGTTATAACTCAGGGTCATGAGTTCACTGAAAAATGGATGCCTCAGAGCCATTTTTATTGGTTCAGTAACATAGCAGACTATGCCATGGCAACTATGTTGAGAGATGTCATTAAAATACTATTAAAACACATCATAATGCTAGGTGCTTAATAAATGTAAAATAAATAATACACATAGCCAAGCCTAAGCTAAAGAGATGGGAATACATAGGTATAACAAATAAAAACAAAACTCAAAGAATTATAAGTCAAAGTTGAGGAAGTGGTGGCCTCTTGAAGTTTTTAACCTGGAAGAAGAGCCTAATGTCTGGAGTTTAGTGTGTTAATTCCTCTTATACAGGAGATTTATTTGGCCACCGATCCACATGAAGCAGTAGGCTTAATTTGAACCCCTGAGTTAAACAGTTGTAGTGTTATCCTCTTTTTGAAGACTAGTAGAAAAGAAAATGCCATGCAAGAATTGGAAAGAAAAGAACAAAATAGATTTCAGAGAAAATACAGTTGTTAAAAAAGTAAATTGCAGGATATCTCTAGCAAATCTAAACTATTTCAGTGAGTTTGTCCAATATAAATCAATATTAAAATCTTAATACCATTCTTTTAAATAATAATAAATTAGAAACTATAATTTTACAAAAGACTCACATTACCAATAACAACAGAAATTTGCGATTTAAGAATCTAAAGAGAATTCTTTCAAAAGAGGTCTAAGACAGAATTTAAGGGCTGTGGAACTTCACAGAATGACACAAATAACACTTGTAGAAATGGGGAGATAAAAGCGTTGTTAAAGAAGACTCTGTGTGTTAAAAGTGCCAATTGTTTTTTAATTATGATATAAATTTGTTGCATTTTAATGAAATTTCAAAGGTTTATTTTGAATGTGGAGCATAGTAAATTGACCAAAAGTCTATGTAGAAGTATAACAAGCTAAGAAGAGCTAAGGCAAATTGAAGAGAGAGTACAGAGGGAGGAATTGCCCTGCCATGTGGGAAATGATTAACTCTAATACAAATGATGGAGTAGTGCTGGCATAGGGACTGACACATAGATGTGTATAATACACAGGAGAGCCTAGAAAGAAATCAAGCACTTATCAATAATTGGTATATGATGCAAGTTCATTTTGAAAGACCTGGAAACCCTGTAGGTAGGGTGACACCTGTTTATACCCTTACATATAGGACCACTGACCTGGATCTCACTGTGAATCTTGAAATATGCCCTGTAAACATGCTCCAGTGTCTTTTAACTGGTCTGTGAACTGTCCTTCCCAACCAGAGACCCACTGGAAGAGATACTCACCAGCTCCCTGGCAAGCAGGCCAGCCTTGCTTCTATAGCAGATTCGAAATGATACTGTGATTTGGTTCTAAATTCTTAGAGATGTGGCCTAAAAGCATTCCTGGAATCCAGAGACTCAAAGGAAGAAATGCCCTTCTGTATCTCCAGAAAGGCCTAGTAGATTTTGGTCTTGACAATGGATCCTAGAACTGTTCTGTGACTCCATTCAGCCCCTCTCATCTGTGGTTCATGGCCAATACTACCTGCTCAGCCAATGCAGAACAGGACTGCCCCTGGGGCCCAGAGGAAGCCATACTTGTCCACACAATTAGTAACGGGTCCACCATTTGCAGGCCTTCATTCTTGCATCAGCCCTACTAACATCCTGGAGGCTATCTAGTCCACCCAGGGACCAGACAGGATCCATGCCCATGAGAGCCCTTGGTATAGGTTCACCAGATGTAGATCCCATTACAGACCCAGCAACAACCACGTTACCCAGATCCCACCCCATTCATTGTGATCCTGGAGACAATCAGGTCAGCCTTAGGACCTAACAGGAGAAGGCTTTTAGATGCTGAAATCAGTCTGCAAAGATGGGAAGAGATGTTTGCTCCTTCAAATGCACAGACACAAATTCAAAGCTACACAGATAAATGAAGAATCTGGCTAACATAGCACCACGATAAGAGCCTAATAAAACTTCATTAATCAAATTCAAAGAAATAAACATCTATGAATTTTTTGCAAAATAATTCAAAATAATCATTTTGAAGAAACGCAATGAGGTACAAGAAAATGCAAATAGAAAACAAAATGAAATTAGGAAAACAATTCATAATAAAAATTAGTTTAATAAATAGAACCCAAGGCCAGTAGGCGGCATGGTCGATAAGGTGCTGGGTCCCACATGGCCAACTCTGTGGTTTGAGTCCTAGATCCAGCAGCTTCATAAACATAATGGAACTGTGTGTGTGTGTGTGTTCAAAAAGCTAGGAGGAGAATGGAGGGGAAGGGGTTGTGGTTTAGTCATTCCCCCGGGTTTTATTCATTACTTTCCCTCTTTCTCTGTCTCTCTCTGGCAAGTGCACTCACCCTATGGGAAAACAAAACAGAACCATACCAAACAAATAAATAAAAATGAACCAAGCAGAATTCTAGAAGCTGAAAAATAAAATGATGGCCTAGAAAGTTTGTAGAGAGCTTCAGCAGCAGACCTGATCATGCAAGAGAAAGTAAGACAGAGTGAAGACAGGTTCTTTGAAACTAGGCATGTACGGAAAGAAAAAGACAAAAGAATGGAAAACAATAAAAGAGGCATAAGGTACCTACGGAGCATCATCAATTATACAAATGGACAGATTATGGGAGTATGAGCAAGAGAAAGAGAGAAAAGTTTAAAATGTTTGCTTAAAGATTTACTCTCTGAAAACTTCCCAAATATTGGAGGGAATATGGACATTCATTCATGAACCAACAAAGAACTTTGTTCTGTATTACTAAAATGTTGTTATATATTACCAAGAACTTTGTTCTATATTACTAAGGCTTTATTACCATAGAACTTTGTTCTATACTGTTAAATGTTAATGTAGTGGATGTAAAGTTCACTTACCAGTTCTGGTCATAGATACACACAACTTGCGTAAACCTAGATATTTGTGCACGTAAATGACTAATCAACAGGGCCACATTTTAAATGACATTTTAAATCTAGTGCAAGGACAACCACAAGATGATAAAATAAGAGTTAAAGAAGATAAGAAAATTAGCACCAGAAAAAAAGTAGTTGGCATAACCAATGAGGGACCTAGAGAACCTGGAATCAGAGGAGAGAGTTTGTGAGAAGGGAAATGAAAGAGAAGAGAGCCACAGAGCTGTATGTCAGGGGGTTGTCAGGGGAAAGATAATTTCTCCTGAAACTCTAGAAAAAGAGGTAAAAAGACCCTTACATCCCCAGAAGAGGAGCCAGGAGCTATATCAATGTAAATGCTAGAGGCATAGTAACAGCCACTTAAAAAAGTAAAATACTCTTTTTAGGAAGTGTTCATGCTCTAAGATTTCTGTAACATGAGTGTGACTGTGCTGATAGGTTTTTAGGGACAGAAGAGGCCAAATACTTTCCCCTGGCATCAGAAGCAGCAAAGTCAAATACACATTCTTCAAGTGCTTTGAAAATCCTCATAGTTGATCAGTGATGTGACAATGAAAGAAAAAAACATAATTTCTTTTCTGAAGGGGCCCATTACAATGCATAATTGAATATGGGTTTATAGCTCCTCTCTAAAACAATATGATTATGTGAGTGCACCTGTACACACACACATACACACACACACACACACTCCAGAAGGGGGACAGAGCTTAAGATAAAACTACCTCTTCCTGATCCTGATCTCATGGAAGAGAGCGCTAAGAAAATCATTATTAGAAGTAGAGATTCTCTCTCTCTCTTTCTCTTTCTCACTCCCTTACCTCTAATCTTGAAAACGTGGGTTCTAGAATCAAACCCAGGTTTGAGTTGTAGTTTTGCCACTACCTGTGTGTGTGACTTTAGATAATTTAATTCACCATTTCTTTTCATCTGATAAAAAGACTTAATAATTCCACTGACTTCTTTGGGGTTTTATGAAGGTCAAAGAAGATAATGCATGGGGTGTAGTTTTTGGCT